TTAGTGTTAACAAATGGAGATTTGGTATCAGATATTACTGTAGGTGAAAGCTTAGGATTCAGTGATCATCAGTCAGTGTGGTTTAATAAAAGAACAGTGGAAGCTTTATGGGTAAATATCTGCTTGGGGGAAAAGAAGGGAAACCAACTATTGGTTGGGATATGTTATAAACCACCTAATGTTAATATTGACGAGGAACAACAGCTGTTTGAGCAAATTGAGAAAGCTGCAAATCTGGGTAACACTTTAATTATTGGAGATTTTAATTACCCGGATATAAATTGGGACAGAGGGACTAGTGCCTCAGCAAAGGGAATTAGGTTTTTAAACTTGTTAAATGACACCTTCATGTCACAACTTGTACAAGCACCAACTAGAATGGATGCTTGTCTGGACCTGGTTTTAACAAACAACGTTGATCTTTTGACCAACATTCAAGTAGGTGAGCACTTGGGAAATAGTGATCACAATATAGTGTCCTTTGAAATAAACTCAAAAAAACAAAAGCACATGGGGAATACTAAAACATATAATTTTAAAAAGGCCAATTTCAATAAGTTAAGGGAAGCTTTACAATATATTGACTGGCATAAACTCTTTAGTGAAAAGAACACTGAGGATAAATGGATCATCTTCCAACAAATATTACAAAGGTACATTTCTCAGTATGTACCATTGGGAAATAAATATAAAAGAAACAAATTAAAACCAACATGGCTTAGTAGAGAAGTAAAACAAGAGATTACAACTAAGAGAAGGGCATTTAAAGCATTTAAATCGGACAAATCAGATGCATCTTATAAAAGATATAAGGATGCAAATAATGCGTGCAAAAAGGCAATTAGACTTGCTAAACTTCAAAATGAAATAATGATAGCTGAAGAGAGCAAAACCAACCCCAAAGCATTTTTTAAGTACATAAATTCTAAAAAAAAACAAAATGAAAGTGTAGGTACACTAAAAACTGAAACGGGGGTGTTAATTAATGAAGACCAGGAAAAGGCAGGAATTTTAAATAACTTTTTCTCCTCCGTATATATGAAGGAAGAACCCATGGCAATAGATGTGCAAATGATTGCTACTAAAAACTTGCAGAATAATTGTAATTGGTTAACTCAAGACAAGGTGCTGCAGCAACTAAAGAAAGTTAATATAAACAAAGCTCCAGGGCCTGACGGTATCCATCCACGTGTACTTAAGGAACTAAGTGCAGAAATAAGTGAACCTCTGTTTTTAATCTTTCAAGATTCTTTTCTTTCAGGAAGTGTTCCGGAGGATTGGAGGAAGGCAGATGTGGTTCCTATATTCAAAAAGGGTTCAAAATCCTTGCCTGGAAATTATAGACCTGTGAGCTTAACTTCTGTGGCTGGTAAAATATTTGAAAGTTTATTAAGGGATAATATTCAAGAATTCCTTGAGAAGAACATGGTTATCAGCAAAAATCAGCACGGTTTTATGAAGCACAGGTCATGTCAAACTAACTTGATTGCGTTCTACGAAGAAGTAAGTAGAAGTATAGATCAGGGTGTTGCCGTGGATGTGATCTATTTGGATTTTGCCAAGGCATTTGATACAGTTCCACACAATAGATTAGTGTTCAAACTCAAGGAAATCGGTCTAGATGAAAATGCTTGTTCTTGGGTAGAACATTGGCTTAAAAACAGAGTACAAAGAGTTGTCATTAATGGTAAATTTTCAAGCTGGACAGAGGTGGCAAGTGGTGTCCCTCAGGGGTCTGTTCTGGGACCCCTTCTATTTAACATGTTTATAAATGATCTTGAAGACGCATTGAAAGTCATGTTTCAGTGTTTGCAGATGACACAAAACTTTGTAAAACAATACAATGTGAGCAAGATATTACTTTGCTGCAGAGGGATTTAGATAGACTGGGAGACTGGGCACTCAAATGGCAGATGAAATTTAATGTTGAAAAATGCAAAGTTATGCACTTCGGCGTAAAGAATACACAAGCAACGTATACCCTTAATGGAAGCGAATTAGGGATAACAACACATGAAAAGGACTTGGGAATTGTTATAGACAACAAACTATGCAACAATGTGCAATGTCAATCAGCAGTGGCCAAGGCCAGTAAGGTATTGTCATGCATGAAAAAGGGCATTCATTCTCGGGACAAGAATATCATTTTGCCTCTTTATAAATCACTGGTAAGACCCATATTGAATATGCTGTGCAATTTTGGGCACCTGTTCTAAAGAAGGATATTATGGCACTAGAAAAAGTGCAGAGGCGGGCTACAAAATTAATAAAAGGAATGGAACATATCAGCTATGAAGAAAGGTTAACAAATTTAAACCTATTTAGTTTAGAAAAACGTCGCCTGAGAGGGGATATGATAACATTATACAAATATATTCGGGGCCAATACAAACCATTGTGTGGAAATCTATTCACAAACCGGACTTTACATAGGACACGAGGCCATGCGTTTAGACTGGAAGAAAGAAGATTTCGTCTAAGGCAAAGGAAAGGTTTTTTTACTGTAAGAACAATCAGGATGTGGAATTCTCTGCCTGAGGAAGTGGTTTTATCAGAGTCCATACAGATGTTCAAACGGCTACTAGATGCATACTTGCAAGAACAGAATATTCAAGGATATAATCTTTCAATGTAGGGTAATAACTGCTTGATCCAAGGATAAATCTGACTGCCATTCTGGGGTCAAGAAGGAATTTTTTTCCTAGCTTGTTGCAAAATTGTGCTTCAAACTGGGTTTTGCCTTCTTTTGGATCAACAGCAAAAAACAAATGTGAGGAAGGCTGAACTTGATGGACGCAAGTCTCTTTTCAGCTATGTAACTATGTAACATGACATCCCACACATTAGAAATTTTTAGACTTTAGAAAACAGAATTTTCTATAATTAGAATATGTGTAAAAGGCGTCAAGCAAAAATTCAAGAAACCACTGTGGTACTCTGCAGATGTGACCAAAATAAAAAAAAAAAAAAAAGTTAGCATTTAGTAATTATATATATATAAAAAAAAAAACAGTGAGAAAACACAGAATGATCTATAAGATTAGGCAGAAAGAGGCTAAGAAGTTATAAGAGCTTCCAAATCTCACACAAAAGAGAAAATAGCACAGTCAGTAAAAAAAAAAAAAAAAAAGAGGACAAAACATTTTTTAGATATATAAATGAGAAAAGAAAAGTAAAACAAGGATTAGTTAGTGTAGCAGATGGCATTGGGCTGTACTAAAAAGTGCATTTATGTCTATGTATTCGGTTGAATTGTAACTTGTAATATGTGAAGTGTATGTAACATTCGTCTGATTGTTCGGTAAAATCACTCCAGTTCTTTTTTTTTTTTTATAATTCTTTATTTTTCATACGATAGGTAAAGCGGGCTCAAGCCGACATTTGGGCTTACGCAGAAGCCAATATTTGAGAGGTCATTCATATCAATACAAACATATAACTTTAATTTACATGACATTCCTCTTTGTGCTTGCTTTGTGCCCTGCCTTACATCGTGGATTTTATGTTTAAACCAGGCAATTTCGCTTTGTAAGGATCTCTAGTTCTAGGCAAATCAGTTTCGTCTTTAGGTATCCTTGTTTCCTCACTAGTGCTATCGTGCCTGAGTGAGTTAAAAATAAGAGATGGAAAAAAGGAAAAGAGTAGGAATAGAAGAGGGCATAGCCCCCGTGAACCAAGGGGTGAAAGAGGATGATAAAGAGCGAGATCAGAATAAGAGAGTAAAGTCGAAGGGGATGGGAGGGTGGGGGGTGGCGAGAACAGGAAGAATCAGATTTGGAGGGGGAGGGGGGGGGTGACTAGGCTTTTAGAGTCTATCACCCTGGGTTCGCTGGTGTTGCTAAGCTCCTTTTCTATCTATTCAGTCCCTCAATCTCCGCCGGAGCCCATTAAGCTAGTGTCCCATGGTTCCCTAACCCGCTGGAAAGTTGTGGTCGTCCCCCTTATCCTTGCCGTCAGGTCGTCCATAATTCTGCATTCTCTTATTCTAGATATTACCCCTTGAAAATCTGGCCCTCCAGGTGATAGCCATGTCGTCGCTATTGCCCTGCGTGCACTCAAGGTTATCGTGTACACCAATTTTCGTTCTTTTTTAGTCCATCCCTCTATTGTTCTGTTTAGTAGGTAGATCCATGGGTCCATGTCCAGAGGTTTATTGAATGTCTGTTTCAGTAGGTTTTCTACTGATTTCCAGAAGCTGTGTAGCTTTGGGCATTCCCACCACATATGTAAATACGTGCCTCGTAATCCGCAACCCCTCCAGCAATCATCCGTGTCTATTGTACGCATTTTGTATAGTGTCACGGGAGTGGTATACCATCGAAGCATGGTTTTCCATGCCTGTTCCTGTAGCGTGACACATATGGAGGTGTTCTTGTTTGCCTCCCAAATCTCCTGCCACTCGATTCCCTCCAACTCTTCCCCCAGATCTGCTTCCCATTGATCAGTGTACTTCAATCTGCCCCATTCTTTTGTTTCAGTGCTGATTTGGGCGTAGAGGAGATTGATCATGCCTTTGGGGGAGATCCCATCCATGCATAATCTTTCGTAAAAAGTTAGCTTCCTTTGAGCTGCTAATTTAATGTGGGGTTTTCTGGCAAAGTCCTGTATCTGTACATATCTAAAAAAATCTGTAGGGGTTAGATGGTTGCCTTGTTGGAGTTCTTCAAATTGTATAACTTCCTCATTTTTATATAGTTGGTGGATACGTTGGAGTCCGGTTCTTTCGATGTTCCTAATGTTTCTGGGAGCCATTCCAGGTGGGAACTCTCTATTCCTAAGTATTGGGGCCATAGGAGAGGGGGACGATGTAAGCCCATATTTGATACTATTTGCATCCCACAGGCGGAGTGAATTGAGGACGGCAGGACAAGTCACCCTTATCATGGGTCTATGTTCCTTTGCGACCCACATTGTGAACTGAGGGACGTCAAGTCCCACTAACATTGATTCGATTTCTACCCATCTCCGTTCCCCTAATGGGGAATGCCACATGGCTATTTGGGTCAGTTGGGCCGCCAGGTAATAGCAGTATAGATTCGGTAGTCCCAGACCTCCTCTGTCTTTTCGTCTGTATAGGACTTGTCTGGCGATCCTATGTCTCTTATTTTGCCAGATATAGTTCCCTATGGCTCTCTGTAATGTCACAAGTTGAGATTTCGTGACTCGAACCGGTAGTGATAAGAACAGGATGCGGGGGAGGATGTTCATTTTTATCGAGTTTATTCGCCCTATCCAGGAGATCGGTTTGTCCATCCAGTTTTCTAGGTCTGCTATCAGTGTCCTTAGCATTGGGTCATAGTTGTCGGAGTATAAACGTCCTGGGTCTGCCGTTAGATGGACGCCTAGGTATTTTAAGGAGTCCATTTCTATCCGAATTTGGTAGGTTTCCTTAATCAGTGCTATATCGGTCTCTGTGAGGCCGATTGGCATAGCGCTGGACTTTTGAATATTTGCTTTGTAGCCGGACAGTTCTCCATATTCTTGTATTACATCCTGTAATGCCGACATCGACCGGATTCGTAATGGTCAGCAAGACGTCATCCGCATATGCGGAAACTGTGAATTCTTCGTCACCTATTCTGACTCCTCTGATATTTCGATGTCTGCGTATCGCCTGTAGCATTGGCTCCAGTGCCATCACGAAGAGGATGGGAGAGAGGGGGCAACCTTGCCTGGTTCCGTTGAAGAGCCTAAATGGCTTTAATGGGGCCCCCGTTATCTGTATCTGAGCTTGAACGTCGTGGTACATCACCTTTGTTACTCGGATATATTCTTCCAGTAAACCAATGTGTTTTAGTAAAGTGAACAGGAACTGCCACCTCACCCTATCGAAGGCCTTCTCCGCGTCGATGGATATCACTAGCGAAGGCGATCCGGTGGCTACTTGTTTCCATATGAGGTCTACGTTCCTTCTAGTATTCTCATATAATTGCCTGCCTTGTATGAACCCGACTTGATCTGCATGAACGAAAGAATTTAGTACCGGGTTCAGTCTGTCTGCTTGTATTCTCGCTTAATATCTTTAAGTCATGGTTAATTAGTGATATAGGCCTGTAATTTTCAGGTTGGAGCGGATCCTTTTCGGGTTTAGGCAGTAGTACTATAGTGGCCAGGGCCATCTCGGGGCCCAGGTGTCCCCCTTGTCTCAGATGGTTGAAAAGTATCGCCAATTGGGGTGTTAGCTCTTTTCGGAAGGTCTTATAATACGTCCCATCGAAACCATCCGGCCCAGGTGCCTTGTTGCCCTTCAGACTTGATATAGCCTTGTCGACCTCATCCTCGCTTATTTCCGTCGCTAGGGTGTACACCGCCTCTTCTGACAATTTAGTCATACCTAAGTTGTCTAGGTATCGTATAATATTGTCCTCTTCCTGACCGTCCCGGGAGTTCCCGTCTGGTGTGTGGTTGTATAATCGTTCGTAGAAATCCTCGAAGACCGTCGCTATATCCGTTGGTTTGGTTTTTATTGTGCCGTCTGTATGTTTAATGGCCGTGATATGAGGCCGGTTATGCCTTGGCCATAGCGTCCTGGCTAGGAGCGTGCCCATTTTATTGGCCTTGTCGTAGTACGTTCTCTTTGACCATGTCATGGCCCTAGCCGTGTCGTCTAGGAGGAGAGTGCGAATGTCTCTTCTAATTGTTTCTAGCCGCCCATATATCGTGACGTCCGGGGTTGATTGGTGTTTCTGCTCGAGGTTCCTGAGTTGTCTCAGTAGGTTTTCAAGCTGGTTGTGTTTCAGCTTCTTCTTCCTTGTGGCCAGTTTAATCAGTGTCCCCCTTATCACCGCCTTATGTGCTGCCCAGACTGTGCTGGTGCTTACATCTGGGGTATTGTTCGTGTTAAAGTATTCTGTTATATCTTTTCGAATTTGTGTAAGTATCGTTGTGTCTCTTAGCAATGATGTGTTCAGTCGCCAGGTCCAAGGATTTGCCACGCATAGGTTGCCCAGGATGATAGCCACGTCCGCATGGTCCGACCATGAAATGTTTCCGACCTCCGATCTCACTATTCTGGGGATGCCCGTTGCATTAACTAAAAATAGATCTATCCTGGAGTATGTTCCGTGAGGGGCCGAGTAGAAGGTATAATCCCGATCTCCTGGGCTCGCCAATCGTCTACTAACCCCATGTCCGCTATATATAAGCGTTCCTTCCCTACTGCTGTTGTTGTCCCCTGCGGTGCTAATTATATATGTTCCGAGCTATTGGTGTCGGGCGCCTCCAACCCCCAGGTCCCGTCGGGGGAGACCCGTGTCCCCTGCTCTAAAGCTCTGATCTTTCGGTACTTCCCTTTAGTAGTACATCAACGGGTCAAGGGGGGCAGGGGAACTAAACCACTACACCGGTAGAGATAATACAGTTAAAAAATACAATAACTACAAAGAGACTAACGTGTCAACGTGTGGCAATTGCCTTTAGTATATGGCCCTCAACCTTTAGAGATGTGTCGCTTATAACGAGTGTGGGGTGTCTGGTCATCTTCACGAGTAATAAAGCCATTGAGCGATAAGTCTTTTGGCCCTCTTCTCTACGGGGACCATGTTTGATAAGTGTGGTAAGTGGTGTTCCCTCGGGTCGTGTGGGAGGGCACACAGGGATTTTGTAGTCCGGGGGCTTAGGGGGTGTACGTTATAATGTTGAGGGAGGTTGTTCTGATGGGCAAGCTATATCCTTCCTCATCTACCGCTCTATTGTTTTCCTTTCCCTTTGTCGTTCTCTCATAGATTAGATCTTTTTACATATTTCTTTTTGCCCGCCTTTCCTTTTATTTTGTTTCCTTCACCCTTCCTATCTCGTGAGGGGTATTATGGTGTATCGCCTGCCTTTTCGCGCTACTAATTTGTGATTTTTATCATTGTCACCATGCAGCCTCTGTATGTTACACCCCCCCCTCAAATGCTGTTGGGAACCCAAGGAATTTTTGTGTTTTTTCCTTTTTTTTTTGTTGTGTTCCCTTCTCTTCTCTGCTTTCGTTTTCCCCTCTACCCTCAGACCTTGGTGTTGTAGGCAGGGGGGGGGGGGGGGGGGGGAACGGACCCTAAATGGCTATCAGTATCCCGCCACCTAGCTGAATTATGTCCATGTGGGGTGATGGGGCGTGTAAGCGAAGCGAAGCTAGATGGCACAATATATATTACAGTGTCTTTATAAGCCTTAAGTCTCTGTGGGAGGTCTGCCAGTGATCTTCGTGCTCCTGATGCTCATTCTCGATTGTTAGTTCTCTGGCCAGGAAAGTTACCCAGAGAGTAGATGAGCCCCCTAGCCCCTTCCCCCGCCCAAGTCGGCCGTGTGCTCAGATGACCATGTCCCGGTAAAATTCCCTCTTGTATGAGGGTGTGGGGCAGGATCCTTCTCTCTGCCCCTGTACAGAGGGTGGGTGGCGGCCCCCCGGGCCCCCTTTGCAGGTATTCCCCATTTCCAGAATTATATGCTAGGCCCGAAGTGGGGTGTTTGGAGGCCCACGCCAAAGACCCCACATGGACTCCCCCCCCGCTCTCCCCCCCCAGAACGCTCACCCCCGTCCCCCCCTGGCCCAGTGTCCCAGGATGAGGGATAAAACAAATGGCAAGAGACGGGAAAAAAGAAAAAATAGGGGGGGGGGACCGGGGGAAAAAACTGTCCAGGCCATACGATACCGTCTGTGGTTAGCGGTGGCCCCTTGCTCCTGCTTCCTGCCACTCCGGCTGTAGTTGTGGAAGGCCTTCAGGAAACATCGCTATGCTGGGAAGGTCGGGAGGCGGCTGGACCCCAAGGCCTCGAAGCAGTCGGTGCGGATCGCCTCCCGGTGAGAGGATGTGTGCCCGGTCTCCTCGAAAGACCATCAACAAAAAGGGGAAGCCCCATGCGTATTTGATGCCGGCTCCTCGTAGTGCGTCCGTAATGGGGCGCCAGTCCCTTCTCCTCTGCAATGTGGAGGGTGCCAAGTCGTGGTAGAGGGATATCGCAGCGCCTGCGTGCCGGATGGGCCCATCGCGGCTTTTTTTCATCAACGCTTCTTTGGTTGTGTAATGTAGAAAACGAATTATGACATCTCTTGGAGTGTTGTCATCGTTTCTTTTAGTTTTCAGGGCCCTGTGTACCCTCTCTATGTGCCACTGTTCCTCTGGAATAGGTGAGAGCAGTGGCTTTAAGATGGTGAGTATGAGCCCGCGTAGGTCTTCAACAGCGCCCTCAGGCAATCCTCTCAGATGGAGGTTGTTCCTTCGAGACCGGTTTGCCATGTCCTCAAGGGCAAGATCCGTTTCCACAAGGTGCGCTGTTACGCGGTTCACCCGCTCGATCACGGCATTGTGGGCCTGTGTTGTTTCCTCCATGCGGTCCTCGAGTTTCGCGGTGCGGTCCCCCAGGGCGCCTATTTCGGCCTGGAGGACCGCCGTCGATTTTGCGATCTCTCCCACAATGAAGGCCCTCACCTCTGCAAGCCTTGCCAGGATGGTGTCCTGGTCGCTTGGGGAAGCCTCTCTGTCGGCACGAGGGGATGACTGAGGAGGGGTGCCTGCGCCATCTTGGGTCCCCGGTCGGCCTTGCTTTTGGGCCGTGAGTAGGTCGAGGACGGTGCCGCCAGGTTCGTTGCCCCTCTTTGTCTGTTTCTTGGGGAGTCTCTTTTCCATAGCTTGAGTCTCAGTAGGGGGTTATTTTAGGTGAAAAGGTCGCTTTTGTGGGCTTTTTTGGCGCGTTTGCCTGGAGCTCTAGTTAGACACGTCTAGTCACATCGACGGTCAGACCACGCCCAATCACTCCAGTTCTTATGCGAATGAAACTAGCGAACAATCAGACCACCCCAGTAATAAGTGTGTCTCCAATTGCTGTTCGCAACAATGTTGCAAACGGGTAATTGGCGGTTCGTGCAATGGGTCCTTTGTTCTCTGGGTGGCCGCCATTCGGGAGACGAACACGTGGCGGCGGCCATTTTAAACTCCCGAACAGCGGTGTTTTGCCATCGACTGTCTGGAACCCAAATCGGACACTCCGTTAGGCAAACACCGCTGAGACCTCCACACTGCCACCAATTCATATACAAACTACTGAACGGCTTCTCGTTCGGTAGTTTGAATCCCACGAACAAGGGAAATGACATGAAACTTCCCTAGCTCTCCTGACATAAGTCATTCGTGTGTTACATTCCCTTTTCTGTGACCGACCGCAGGGCCAAAACACATGGAGCCCTTTTCGGCTGGTAAACTCAGTGTGGTCGGTCATTTTAGTACTTCCATAAATTTCCCGAACCCCTGGTCCGATCTGGGTGATTTTTGGATATGTGTCTCACCCATATCAGGGCTACCAGGGGATGTAACATTTAAAGGGGTACCCCTATGTTTAAGGGTAAATCCAGAAACTCTAGGAATTTGTGTCCTGCATAAGTGGATTATGTGTCACAGTAAGGGGAGGGGATGTGTGGGTGGCAACTCGTGGAGGATTGGCTACTGTACTAATTATTGCAAACCCCTCCCTTGCATGGCAGAATGCTTTATAAGGCAAGTTGTGTGCATTAAAAGTCAGTTCTGCTCCTGATGCTGTGTGTCGTCCAGTCAGTGGGATCTGTGTGGGGATATTCGTGGATTACCTTGCTTGCTGGAATTATTATTTCATGGTATTTTTACTACTTGTTCCTGAGCCTCACTGGGATCTCTAGTGGAGTTAACCTGGGGAATACCAGGCCTCCGATATATTGGTTGGCAGCGCTGGGATCCAGACTCACAGATGAACAAGTACCAATGGAGTACGGATGGAGATGGACTATTCTACACTAAAACGCTCCACGCTAAAAGGAAGCAAGGGGCATTCAAGCCAGCAATAAAAAGAAAGCTGTACTTATTACCGAACTAATGGCGGAATACCGAACAGATGGCGGTTCAGTTCCCGAACACAGTGATTCGACAGAAAGACAGGAACAAATGGAGTTCCAGAGACAGTTACAATTTAGGCTGTCTTTTTATGGAGAGAATCCACCAGCAGAGGTCCAGGAGTTTGTACTGAGGCAAAGGATAACATCAACCCCAGAAAGCAGCACTGCACTGCAAGAGGGTAAGCCAAAAATACCTTATCAAGCATTCAAAATGTATGTAGAGGCAGAGGAAGACATAGATGCATTCCTTCAGGATTTTGAAAGACTGTGTGCCTTGCATAGGATCAGTGCAGAAGATTGGGTTCCCATTTTGGCTGGGCATTTAACTGGGAGAGCAGCAGAAGCTTATCGTACTGTACCAGACGAGGAAATCCGGGACTACAGTAGAGTAAAAGAAATTATACTGGCCCGGTATGCCATCACACCAGAGGCATATCGAAGGCGGTTCAGGGAATTAAAGAAAACCGAGAAAGACTCGCATGCTGAGTGGGCTTGTAGACTACAGGGGGTGGCCCTCGGATGGGTACAAGCTAGCAAAGCACGGTCCATGGAGGACGTAATACAAATGTTGCTGATGGAACAATTTTATGATGGGGTATCAACAGATGTCCAAGAATGGGTAAGGGACCGTAATCCTACATCCCTCACGGAGGCTGCTAGGAAAGCAGACGACTATCTGGATGCTCGCAGGCAACAAAAACCGGTAGCCCCAAAGATCACAGTAAAATCCTTTGGGGGGACAAACTACCCCACAGTACCACCACGACATCTACCACCACCACCACCTGCGGCACAACCACGATTTCGTCAGCCTAACTCAGTGCAGTGTCATCAGTGCCAGAGGTGGGGACACTACAAAAAGGGAGTGCCCTCAGCGGCGAGACCGATCTACCTGGATAAGGCCAGGTCCACCACCACCACCACCGAGAGCAGCCGCACACCACTACCAGGAGGAGACAGCCGCCGCCTATGGCTCCGCAGTCCCCGTCACTACAATAGAACAGTGGGAGGTAGTACATGAAGCCAACCCGCTACAAGCCAATGCAGATAATCGCCAACACCACAGGCAAACTGTATATCTGGAAGGAAAAGCGGTGCAGGGGCTCCGAGACTCAGGAGCCACCATAACCCTCGTAAAAAGCCACTTGGTCTCTGACAATGCCATGACCAACAGGACGGTAGCCGTCGGGGTTGCTGGGGGAGCCGTCTACCGGCTGAATACCGCAAACGTACATTTGCATTGGGGAGCAGGGTCGGGAAATGTAGAGGTGGGGTTGATGCCACAGTTACCCGCAGAGGTGGTACTGGGAAACGATTTGGGAAGGCTCACTTATGCTTTTGAGCCCCAAACCACAACCACAGAGGAAGCACATCCAGTGGTCACCAGGCAACAGGCCCGCACCCAGGACTACAATACACTACCAGAGGTTCAGGTAAGAGATCCTTCCCCTTCCCTAGACTGTGTACCCTGGGCCCCTCCTAACGAATTTGCAGCAGAGGTGATCACTGACCCTACCCTACAGGTATATAGAGATAAAGTCACCTATGACCAGCCTGGGGCGGAGGGGGAAAGATTTGTATGGGATGGACAGCTGTTATACAGGGAGTCAGATAAGCAGGTAGCTAGGTCAGACCCGATTGTTTTAAGGCAGTTAGTCATACCACAGAGGTACAGAGCCGAATTGCTCACGATATTCCGCTATCTGGGCATTTGGGGATCAGTCGTACCCGATACCGACTGACCCAAAGTTTCTTTTGGCCAGGAGTTACGTAAATATTGTAGTACCTGCGATACGTGCCAGAGGATAGGGAAGAGGGGAGACCGGCGGAAGGCGAAGTTGCATCCGCTACCTATAATTGAGGAACCATTTCACAGAAAAGCGGTAGATATCATAGGCCCCCTTCAGAAACCTAGCCCTTCGGGCAAGAAATACATTTTAACTGTTGTGGATTACGCCACCCGATATGAAGAGGCAGTGGCCCTGACAAATATACATGCCGAAACCGTGGCCGAAGCCCTGATGCAGATTTTCTCCCGGATGGGGTTACCCAGGGAGATCATCTCGGATCAGGGTACTCAATTTACCGCAGAGGTCACTCAGCAACTCTGGAGATTTTGTGACGTTAAACCTATCATTAGTGCCCCATACCAATGGGCTTTGAGAACGGTTCAATGGTACATTAAAACAAATGCTCCAGGAGGCGGAGCCTAACCACCGACCAAGATGGACGTGTAATCCCTGAGCTCCCTCACCCCCGAGCTTGACATCGGCTTATATCAGCGAACTTTAAACGCCATCCACCTCTGATAACGAACAATATCCACTACTACCACAGACCTACACCTAAATCCACCATGGGAGGAAACAAAAAACAGAGGGAACACACTCCATCGGTGGCCATTCTGTTTCGCGACTCGGAGCAGGGGCGGCCATCTTCGGCCCAGAGCACTCAACAATCTGGCTCCGACTCCGACTACAGCGAGATGCCAGAGGACTCCTCCGCACCCCTCACGATGGGCAACCTGAGGAAACTACTCAGGGAAAACGTCTGCGGACATTAAAGCCTACACTGCGGCGGAACTGGAAAAACAAATGTCAGGCCCCAAAAGCGACATTGACGCGCTCACAACGCGCACAACGCAGGCCGAGCAAGAAATCATGGGCCTGTCCCAAACGACACAATCTCAACAGCAAGAACTCCTCACCATGCAGGACAGGATAGTGCAATTGGAAGATGGCCTAGAAGATATCAACAACAGAACTCGCCGGAAAAACATCAGGATCCGAGGTCTTCCTGAATCGGTACCACCGGAGGCTGTCTTCACTACCGTCCAAGAGATCTTCCGCAATCTCCTGCCAGAAGCAGCTGCCCAAGACCTTGCAATAGAACGAGCACATAGAGCACTGCGGGCCCCCACGCCTAACCCAGCAATGCCGAGGGATGTGATAGTGAAACTGCTCCTATTCACCACCAAGGAAAAGCTGATGGCTGCAGCCCGCACCAACCCACCGAAACATCAGGAGCATCAACTGCAATTTTTTCAAGACCTGGCGCCCGCGACCCTGCGAAAACGGAGGGAACTAAAACCCCTCACCACCTCGCTGTTACAGCATGGCTGGAAATACACATGGGGCCACCCGTTCAAGCTAATGGTCCGGAAGGACAATCACTCATATACCCTCCACTATCCTGCTGACATGTCGGACTTTGCTAAACACATCGGAGTCCCGCTCCTCCAATCATCCGCACCCACCGACAAAGACCCACAACGTTCAAGCCGCTCATCACAAAAGGACGACACGACATCCCTACGCCTATCTCAGAGGAACAGACCACAGCAGATCCCAAAGAAATCAGCATGAAGGGCAGCACACAGAAGATGACAGAGGCGCAAGCCACACAAGCTGGACTCATCCATATGTCAGACGGCTGATCAGGTTTCACACCCCTATCGTACCCCCCTTCCCCCTCAGGGCTACTATCTCCCCCCCCCACTTGCCCCAAAGGTGCCACCACAGACCAACCGAGAGGACACATTCTGCCCTCTAGACGAGACGGGGGGCCATGCCGGATTTGCCCCTGTGGGGCGTAGCCGCACTGGTCCCCATGCCGGGGGCCACCCGGGGATGACCTCCATACGTTGGGGGGGCCTCGCTCGCCCAGGCCCGGGCGGGGCCCCCCCAACCATCTCTGGAACCGGGTCGGGTCGATGCGCGGCCATCTGAAAGAGGGCCTAGGCATTTGCACTTGCATCTGCACCTACATCTCCAAAAGAAGATTAGAGCATAGGCACCCCCTAACTGAATACAGGATAACCAAGACAGGTCCGGCCCCGAAACAGACAAGGCACGGCCTAAGGCAGGGGGATATAGCTAGGCTACACCAGCCGTCCGTTCCCCCAGCCAATAACGCCCTGCGCTACTCCAACCTGGGTTAAACCCCCCCAGGCACGAAATAGGCACTGCACCACTGGTAACCCGCAGGGGATAGGCACCGACCTCACAGCCATTAGTGACAAACGGAGGTCTTCCCATTTTACCCCCATAAAATTACACCGATTACCCTCAACTATTACCATTGTTAAATGGCAATATGATTTGAATAGCTCACAGGCGCACAGGTGCGAATATGTTTAATTTCATGAGTGCGGGCGGCACGTCAGAAAGGGAATGACACATATTCAAACAAGGTGCCACAAGCACCGCCATGCACCCGCCCGATCCCCCTACTGGAACCCCCCACTATGGTTACACAATGTATGTTATGCACAGAGTGTGTTACTGTAAGCGCACAGGCGCATGTATTTCCATGGCGTTTTGAACAGGACAAAAGGTGTAACTGGGACTAAGCATAACACCCACCGACTGACAGTAACGGTGTATCGGACAGGGACGACCTAGCCTCACCCCGGTAAGACGCCCCACCCTGGACGGCCAATCCCTGACTGACGTCACCCAAAGCAAAGTCCACGGACAAAGAGGGATCCCCCTCGAGGGAAACCGCAACCACCCCCACGGCAACCTAACAACCAGATCGGACACTCGGGTACAGGACCCTGAAAGAGCCCCGAGGACCTGATACCCTCACCTGGACGGATTCAGTAAGCAACTATCCCCCACCCGACAGAACGCATCCACCTCCCTCAGACGTTGACAACGACACCTAGACTGAGGGACATAGATACAACCGAAGCATTTCTCTCTCATGTTACTCAAATGTATATATACTGTAATGTGAATGTCGAGGCCAAACTGTTGCTCAGTGAAGATTGTCTAATGTAATGTGGTTGCCAATACAATACTGCTGCTTTAGATATGCACCACCCCACAGGACCCACACATCTCCCCCACACCACGCCCAACATCAGCGGCACCCCAGGTACTATCACACTCCAAGACTGGGGGAGTGGGAGGAACCCCAAACGGTAGAAACACACAGGCCGGCAGGGCACAGTGGGAAGGTGCACTACACGCCACCAATGACGCTTCTCACAGGGCTCACGCCACACCCACCAGACACTGGGCTGCTACACGCCTCACCAAGTTGGTACACCAATGGCCGGACATCACACGTCCTGCCCCTACTGCAACACAGCGCAACCGGGGCAGACAGTGGCACCCCACCTCACGAAGCCCGGTCCCCCCCCCCCGTCCAACAGCAACCCTAAGGCACCCACAAGCATCACCAGTGGCCCTAGGGGAGGGAGGATGACCCTACTTTGACAACCGAATAACCTGCCAACATACCATATAAGGGTGCACAGGGGAACCATGAAAGCATGAGACCTCAACCGGAAGATTCGTTCCGGACAACTGACAGGCGCACAATCACCTTGAACTTAACCAGCGACATGTGACATTGCCCTCAATAACACGTGCTGATACATATCCAACACAACACACAACATATAAGCTCACCGTAGACACACCGTAGACACACAGGCTCGGGGGGCAAAACTCTGCCTTTGACTTTCCTGGCTATATCCCTGTAAGACCAGGTACAACTGACACACTTAACGAACCCACCAGCACTTGACACCACACCACACTCTAACACTACCTCCCCCTTACCTCATCTACCCCAGCCGACCCCCCAACCCCACCCCACCCCACCCACCCACCTGGTCCATCTTCGCACCACCCAGGGACAAAACACCCCGGAAAGGGACAAACGGGGAGGAGATCCATGGCACTCCCGCTGACGTGTATATCCATCAATTGCAAGGGCCTCAACAACCCTCTCAAGCGCCATCAAACCATGCGATGGGCAAACAGAACCCACGCGCACGTTATTTTCTTACAAGAAACCCACTTCCAACACAACAGAACTTTCCCCCTCCAAAATAGAAACTTCAACAGGAACTTCCTCGCTAACTCACCGACAGGCAAACAAAATAGAGTAGCGATACTAATGCACAAAGCATGTCCCCTTACAGTGGACAAAACCGAGGCAGACCCACAAGGGCGCTATGTAACAGTGGCAGGGACAATAGGCACCCAAAAATACGCCTTTACCTCGATTTACGCTCCAAACATCGCTTCAACCTCCTTTTGGCTGGCACTACAGGCACATCTAGCACTGTTCTCCTCATACCACCTGGTAATAGGAGGAGACTACAAC